TGCCTAGAGCCGGGCAGTGTCCGGCAGTGAGTCCCGGAGGCGTAGGGCCACCCGTGTATGAGAGGGCTGTGGGCGGGTGGAGCTGTGGGGCCGCTTCTGATGGGTCAGGGCGGGGGGAAGATGTGGGTCCGCCTCTTTGTGACAGGGGTCAGGATGGGGGACAGATGTCGGGCCTCTTCTGTGTGACAGGGGTGTGGGCAGTGCGAGCTGTGGGGCTGCCCGTGTGTAACGGTGAGGTCTGTTTGGGGGGAGCGGTGAGGCAGCTTCTCTGACAGTGGGATCTGGGTGGGGGAGAGCTGTAGAGACCCCCCCAGGGGTGGCATGGGTGTGCTGGCTGGGGGGAGATGTGGAGGCTGCCTGCGTGTGACGGTGGGGTCTGGGTAGGGGGAGCTCTGAGAGTCCCTGTGTGTGTGGCAGGGGAAGCTGTGGGGGTTCTTCCTGTGTGACAGTGAGATCTGGGTGGAGGGTGCTGTGGGGTCTTGGGCAAGGGGAGCTGGGGCTATGCGTGACAGAGGGGCATGCATGGGGGAAGCTGGGGGGTGTGGGGCAGGGGGAGGTGTGGAGGACCGCCATGTGTGGCACTGGGGTCAGTGCCTTATGGGTTATCAAGGTGATGCCTTCTTTCATTACTGTGCCTTAGCAGATGAGGGCAGGGGGGACAGGAGGACATATTTCAGTCTGGAGGTGAAAACCACACACCCAACCCTCCTAAGCGAGTAGAATGGGACCGAATCTCACTTTTATTTCAGTGCCTTAACAGCGCAACTTCTGCTTCTGCAGGAGGACGTTGTTCAGGCAGAGAGGTTGGGAGTGTGAGGATGGGGGAGAGGATCTCTGCTCAGGGCTGCTACGTTTGTCAGTGTGGGAAGGGAAGTCTTGGGGCTGAAACTGGATGAAAAACCTGTCAAAAAAAATACCAGGCAACGTGTTCTTGTATAATTCTTCCAGTAATCCTGATGTTAACTATTTCACCGTTGAATCATTGTACCACTAAGAAGCAGGTAATGTGATTTGGGGTTTGTATTTTTTATTTATTTTCTTTAGGAAGTAATATACAGTTGAATTATTTGTCCCAAAAAGGAGATTATTTATGTTCCCATCTATTGAAGAATTATGTGACAAGTTTTTAAGCGAGTGGCAGGAAGGGACAGTAGCATATTTTGGTGACGGGACTAGCAGAAAAAGTCACCAGGGTTATTCCTTTCACATAAGGTGTTACTGGGCGTAAAGGTAGCAAGGTGTGCAGAGAGCATTCAGATGTACTGAACCCACAGGAGGTGGCTTTACAGTCTGAAAATACTCTCTTACCTACTGAAATGAATGGGAATTTTCAGTAAAAAACTGCAGACCTGTGCAAGGCCTTTCCTTCCTCTGGCTTCCTTTGCCTGGAGAAGGCAGGAGCTTTGCCTCTCGCTTCTGAAGGATGTTATTTTTCCAAAATGAGGTTGGAATCTGTCTCTGTCCTCTCATTTGCACCTCAATGGAGAAAATGGACGCTGTTCCTCAGTAATGAGGTGACAGTGCTGACAGTAGAGTTAATCGAGGAAATATTACCTATTTTTACCGGTAAAAAGAATCTGCTGGTTTTTTTTTTAATACGCTAAACATGACTCTGGCTAAAGGTAAAGTTCCGTTTATGTAGTTTGTTTTGGGTAACTGCCTTTTCTTCTTTAATCTTGTGCTGACTGAGAACCTTACTGTATAAAAGCTGACAGATTTTGTCATTTCTCTGTGTGTGTTGTTACAGATAATGACACCAGAACAGAGTCCAGCAACTTCCCTCATTGACAGGACCATCAAGATGAGGAAAGAGACTGAAGCCCGGAAAGTGGTCTTGGCCTGGGGACTCCTTAATGTGTCTGTTGCGGGCATGATATATACTGAAATGTATGTTAACTGTTACATCTGATTCAAACAAGCAAAGCATCCTACTTTGTATATCCCTAAATATTTCCCAGGACTGAATAGTTGCAAAATGATAACTTCTTGTTTTTCTTTTCAGGACTGGAAAACTTATAAGCTCATATTACAACATCACGTACTGGCCGCTCTGGTATATTGGTGAGTCGCTGCAGCAGTTCAATTAATTTTCAGGATTCTTTTCTTTTTTTACTTGTCAGTTTTATTGCCGGAGAGGTAGTTTTTTAAACCAGCCTTTTTTTTTTTCTTGGGGTTTTTTGTTTGCTTGCTTGCTTGTTTGTTTTAAATTTAAACCAAAACTTTGTTTTGCTTTCTGTTATCTCCCCTGAAACTTGGGGTTTCATCTGTTTTAGTGACAGGTAAGGAGTGTTAACAGCTTTCTTAGACATATCATTAAAAGGCATGAAGAGCTTGTTTGGTGCATTAAATCTAGTTGACGTGTGGAGTAAGGCTTTGGAGAACACTGCAGATTTTACTAGTATATTGTACTGTGGGTGTGGGTGGCATTTCACAATAATTAAAGATTGTTTCAGATGGGTAGACTCTAAGCTAGCTGTATCAAATAGAGGATGAAAAGGAGCAAGAGGGAGAGAAAAGTCATGAGATGAGTGACAGATGATTTGACGGAAGATGATGTTTGAGAAATACTGTGAAACTTCATTGCAGTGGTTTGTGTCCTTTTTGGAAAATAATCGTCCATTTTTTTAAATTAGATTTTAGCAATATAAATTAATCTCAACATAGCAAGGAAAATTATCTCCAATGGTTCTTGCATAAGAAGGTGAAGAAATCTTAGACACTTGCCCAAATTGGTACTTACTGGTAGCACTAATAATGACCTATTTTTAATGGGCATATGCCTGTTTTTGCAAATAATATACTTTCATTATTCCCTGTGCTCAAGCTATGGTAAAAACTTTTGTGTTTCTTGTAGAACTTGCACTTGCATCTCTGTTCAGCCTGAATGCCTTATTTGATTTCTGGAGGTACTTCAAATACACGGTGGCACCGACGAGCTTGGTCATGAGTCCTGGCCAGCAGACCCTGCTGGGGTTGCAGAATGCAGGTGGGTGTAATAAATATCTCTAACAATCTTTTTTTAAAATTTTTTTGTTGTTGTTTCGAGATAGTATCTTTCTCAAGTGTAGGATTCTTTAGTGAAGTGAGTTCTGAATTACCTCATCTGACATGAGCGGTAAACTGAATTATTATACGTATTAAAATGCACAACATCAAGTGGTAATTTGATGAGTGTTTGTGGGGAGAAGTGGAGGGGAAACACACACAGTGAAAAAGGACAGAATAGTGAGCTGCTGAAGGACAGTGAGAGACTCAAACATTGTGTGAGGCTGGACAAGGAATTTGTGACCTATACGTGGGACTAGGAGCAAGGCAGAGAGTGCAGGTTTGTATTTAATTTTAATGTCCTGCTAATATCACACTGGGTAACGAGAACCAAATTAGAGGGACAGACAGACCTTCACGTGAAGTCTGAAAATGACAGCCTAGAGGCAGTCACTCAGAAAGCTTTTGGACATCAAAACAAAGTTCTAAAATACACCAGAACCTGACAAGGTAAATAAACCGAAAGCAAAATGGTAGCACAGTAGTATTGCACTCTGCTAGTCTGCCCCTAGAAAACGGGAAGCAGACAAGCTCGAGAAGTGGGCCCATATGAACCTCATGAGGTTTAACAAAGCCAAGTGCAAGGTCCTGCACCCAGTTGGGGCAACCCCCGGTATCAATCCAGGCTGGGGGATGAAGGAATTGAGAGCAGCCCTGCCGAGAAGGACTTGGGGGTACTGGTGGGTGAAAAGCTGGGCATGAGCCAGCAATGTGCGCTCGCAGCCCAGAAGGCCAATCGTATCCTGGGCTGCATCCAAAGCAGTGTGGCCAGCAGGTCGAGGGAGGGGATTCTGCCCCTCTGCTCTGCTCTGGGGAGACCCCACCTGCAGCACTGCGTCCAGCTCTGGAGCCCTCAGCATAAGAAAGACACGGACCTGTTGGAGCGGGTCCAGAGGAGGCCACAAAAATGATCAGGGGGCTGGAACACCTCTGCTATGAAGAAAGGCTGAGAGAGTTGGGGTTGTTCAGCCTAGAGAAGAGAAGGCTCTGGGGAGACCTTATTGCAGCCTGTCAGTACTTAAAGGGGACTTATAAAAAAGATGGGGACAAACTTTTTAGCAGGGCCTGTTGCGACAGGACAAGGGGGAATGGCTTTAAACTAAAGGGGGGTAGATTCAGACTAGAGATAAGGAAGAAATGTTTTACGCTGAGGGTGGTGAAACACTGGCCCAGGTTGCCCGGAGAGGTGGTGGATGCCCCATCCCTGGAAACATTCCAGGTCAGGTTGGACGGGGCTCTGAGCAACCTGCTCTAGTTGAAGATGTCCCTGCCCAGGGCAGGGGGGTTGGACTAGATGACCTTTAAAGCTCCCTTCCAACCCAAACCGTTCCATGATTGTATGATTCTATGAGTAATGCTGTATCACCAAAGTTCAAGGATCTCCTGTGTTTGTTTGCACAGATAAATTAAGACATTCAATGTGCTAAAGATGCATAAAGTAGGGAGGTAGAGTAGCTGATGAAATAGGTTAAAGAAGCCCCCCGGGTTATGCAAGGTGCCTGGTAACATTTAACTGAAATCTGAAGCTGTAGGACTTGTGCTGAGTTGTGGTCATGTGTCTCAGTCCTCTCTTTTTTTCTGTCAGTGACTTGACCGCTGAATTCTGTAGGGGCCAGATTTTTCTAGTGTCCCTTATAGCATCTTTATAAAATTGCCTTAAGATAGCATTGCGTGTGCGTTTTGTTGTGCACTTAAAGGGGGGAGGAGACTGTGGGGTTGCTGCATCCGCAATGCTAATTCTGTTTTTCCTTATTGCAGCAGTACAAACAACTCCACCACGTGAGCTGGCAACAAAGAAAGTCCCGTCTTCGACGCCTTCTCCTCCGATCCAGGGTCAAAGTGTGCTGAGTTACAGCCCATCCCGCTCCCCTAGTGCCAGTCCAAAGTTTACTACCAGTTGTATCACAGGGTACAGCCCTCAGCTGCAGGCTCTGTCGAGCAACAGCGCTTCTTACAGCAGTGCTGTAACCTATTCACCAAGCAGCAGCTACAATAAGGTAACGACCAAGACAGCTCCCAAGGGTACGGTTTGGTCCTTGTTTTGTGTCATATGCCATCGAAGGTGAGCAGCAGCCAGTGGAGAGTTGTGTATATGTGTGTTCGCTCCTTTTGCAAAGTAGATGTAAATTTGTTGTATCGGGATTTGTCCTTTTTCCCTAGTGTCACTTCATTTTGTTTGTTTCACTAGTGAAACGCTAGTTTCACTGAAACAAACACTAGTTTGTTTCAGAACAAAGAGAAAATAAGAAACCAAAATGTAAATACAAAGGAGAAAAAAAACCCAACCCAAACCCTAAACAAGAGTCTCTTATATTCATGTCGTTTACAGATCAAAGTGGAATTCTGTCTTCCTCATATGACACAACCATTTGTTTTTATTCGCCCAAGGTTTCCAGCTTCAGCCCCTCTCCCAGTGGATCACCGTACCCCACGAGTATTGGACCAGTGGAAGGCGGCGGGCTAAGGTCTCGTTACCGCTCTTCGCCCATTCTGTATAATTCTCCTACTGGCAAAGAAGACTATATGACAGACCTCAAGTCACTGGACACCTTCCTTCGAAATGAAGAAGAGAAACAGCACAGAGTTCAACTGGGTAAGTAAACAGATTTGATCCGAAAAGCTTGGTAAGAAGAAGGTGTTGGTTTTATTCGCGAGTCCTTTTGCGGATGAGAAAAATTGCAAAGGATTCCAGCGTAGTCCTACTAGTAAATAGACCTAACTCATTTATGGTAATCACCTCTGGCCTTGGTAAAGGCGGCTGCTGAACAGTTTAGTCTTCTACTGAGTAATTAGGACGTGAGGTAGAACACCATCATTTCTACACGTCTCCATGGCTTAGGAGCTTCAGAAAGTTTTGCTCCAAAGTATCCCTTTGGATGGGATATCTGCTGCTGTTGCAGCATATCGAAATGTGTGCTGATAGATTGTCTCTGTAGCGTTTGTTGGCTGTAGTGGACCATGATGAGATGACGGGCTTTATCACCTTGATGAGAGGGATATCTTGTGGAGAGGACATATCAGAAAAAGGGGGTGAATTACTGCAGGCAGCTTTTGTCCTGGATAGGGACAATCAAGATAAGGGTGAAATCAGTGTTTATGCAGACTGACTTCAGTGTATGTATTCGTGGCAGTTCGTGTTTGTGTCTCTTGTCAAAGCCTTAATATACTGATGTATTGCCTGTGCTGTTGCTTCCAGAATTACTTGGCAATAATTGTACGTGACTGTTTAATGAACGAATCGTTTCAGGAAGTTCAGATTCCGGCTCTCCTTCCAGCAGCCCAACTTTTTGGAACTACAGCCGTTCCATGGCAGACTACGCACAGATGCTGAGAAAGTTCCAGTATCAGCTGGCTTGCAGGTCCCAGGCTCCGTCAGCACACAAGGACGAAGCTGATCTGAGCTCAAAACAGGCTGCAGAAGAGGTAAATTCGGCAGCAATGTGGTCAAGAGGGAGAAACAGGCCTCTAAAATACACAGCTTTGTGCAAAGGTTTGGATTTGAGCTGTATCAAAAATGTCGGAGAGAGAAATCTTCCAGCATTTAACCATCTTCATACAGTTTCACTGTAAATGGACTTTTCAAATACTGAATTTTAGTTGGAAAATGATTTTGCCCTTGGAGAGCAAGGCTTACATTGGATAAAATACATTTGTGACATAAAAATTGAGTTGAAACTGATCTGTATTTAACCCAGTGGAACAGCTGAAGGATATAAAGCGCTGCCTTTACGTTTGCGTCTGAAAGAAGGCTGATGCGAAGGAATACAATTCATGTGGCTTCAATTAAATTTTATCAATTTTCTTTATTTCTTGCATTAACCTAATGAAGCTTCCCATTCAAATACCTTTTAAATCAATCCTACAATTCAGATCAATTTTTATCCTAATGCAGAGAGCTTAAAACTGGATTTGGGCTCATGCAAGATGATTGTACCGTGAATAGAGAGTGGGAGTGTCGTATGTGAAGCTGCTGTAGAAGTCACATGATACAGCCAGCAGATGTATAAGAATTTTGGGAAAAACGTGATTTGAATTATGTGCTGTAGTTAGTATCAGAAATTGTCGTAGACCCTAAAAACTCTCGGTATTCTGTTAAGTTCTTACATGTACTTAACAAACCTTTCCATAGGTTTGGGCACGGGTGACAATGAACCGACAGCTCCTTGATCACATGGATTCCTGGACCGCTAAGTTCAGAAACGTAAGTCCCGTCTCTGAGGGACTGCCTCGTTTTTAAGAACAAGCGCAGCAGAGTGGAAAAGCACCTCCGTGTCCCCTGTGTGCCTAAGGAGGTGGGAGGAATTGCAGTGTCTGTTGGGGTGGGCTGGCACAAGGAGATAAAAACACAGCGTGCCTTAAGAGCGGACTACTGAGATGCGTTTTCGACCTGACCTTGGTGTTTTGTATTCTGAAAACTTCACGGTTGTAAAGTTCATCCCCCTCGGAATGACAAACAAAAGCATCTCGAATATGACAAGATTTGGGTTTCCTTGCTGCAACTCAGATTGCTAAATTGATGTTTCTGCAGTATTTCTAACTCATTCTCCTGGGCTCAAAGCATGGAAAATTCCAACCCAAAGGCTGACTTTTTCTGACAGTCCTGAGCAGCGTAATAAAAAGCAAAAAGCAAAACCTTGATCTTATCAATAGGAATTGCTATAGCAGAGGAGACTTAATTGCACACAATGGCAAAATAATTAGTAAATCTACCTTTGGATTGCCCCCTCAGCCGTGGCGTCTATCAAGTATGTAGTTTTGCTTGTGTGTTTTGTGGTTTGGGGTTTTTTTAAGTAGTAAGATTGGTGAAAAGCAAAGATTAGTATGAGATCCATACCAGATTCCTGAGCATCTGTTCATAAACCTAGGGCCAGCTTGCTTCAGTTCCCAAATCCTGTCACGTACAAATCCCACGCATAGTGTTTATCAGCTCCTTGATTTCCCGAAACAAATGTGAGAGGGAGTGGACTCATCAAAGTATAAATTACCTTTGTGGATGGAGGGCTGTGCTTCGTAATACCCCTTTCCTCATTGTTCAGAAAAGCTTTATCGGATGCTTCCTAGAGATTTGTTTTCCTGACTCCTTTACATTGAAGTTTCTGGCCTTTTAGAAGGTATTAAAGAGTCCTTTAAACTCTGCCTAACTTGATGTTCCAATTTGATTACTTTCCTCCTTGGTTGGCTTCAGTGTTTCTGTTAAGCTGCTTTGTGATTGTAACGGTGATGATTAGTCGGGTGTAAGCTCAGGGTTGGGTTTTTTTAACATTTTTATTGCTTCTGACCTCTTGCATTTTCACATTTTTCTTTCCTAGTGGATCAATGAGACTATTCTAGTGCCACTCGTCCAAGAGATCGAGTCTGTGAGCACTCAGCTGAGAAGGATGGGGTGTCCAGAATTGCAGATCGGAGGTAGGATGAGACAGTAGCTTTGGAGTTCCCGGTGGTGGTCGATGGAGGGCCGCTCCGTAGCTGGGGCGTTGGATAGGTGTTACATAAATTAGATCTGTTAAATATTACTGTTCCATTTCCGCTCTGTATTGGTATGGTCTTTGTTCCATGTCATGCATTTCATTAAGCTGGAAAGGTTCTTCATAAGGCTTCTGGAAATATTGATGAAGTCACGCTGATGCCTGTCTCATATAAAATTCATAAACCTGTCTTTTTTTTTTTTTTTCTTTTTTCCCCTAAATTTACTGCTGGGGAATTACAGGCTCAAATTGTCATTGATTATGGCATAGTAAACTGTCAGAAAACATTTCAAGGACAGATGTGCTATAAACTCTAAGTGTCTCCAGTCCTATGCGCTCTTCCAAATTCTTCCTTAAAATCAGCTGCTTTCTGAAAGAACTATTTTTTTTAAATTCTGATGAACTGGAGTTCTGTTTTTCATGTCACGATACAATTCTGAAGGAACTGCTTCTCTTGTTGCTTCAAACTTATATCCCCGTAACCAAGAAGTGGATTTGATGTGCTGCATTTAAATTGAACCCCCCTTTTGCGGGCTGTTTGTTGTAGTGTCTCCTCAAGAGCTGCATCCGCCGTGACGCCTGTGGAAAGTTGTAGTGTCTCCTCAAGAGCTGCATCCGATCAACTGATGGCCTAAACTGATCAACGCTGGCCTTGTCCCCACCTCGTTACTCTCCCTCTGCTCTGCAAAGTGGATGTTGGTTCCTTGTAGCTTTTATATTCTGTGTTGTAAAGCAGACGTCTACTACTTCATTGGAGTTGAAATGAGTGTTTGGGGTAGTGTCGCATGGTAAACGCTTCTAGGACTTTAAATGGTGCGCCAAAAAGGAGAGCTCTTCGTAGCGACGCCTGGTGAGGGAGGCTCTTCGGAGTTCTGTGGCGGTCGCAGCTGATGTAGGGGCTGCTCTTGTGTTGCAGAAGCCAGCATCAGCAGTCTGAAGCAGGCAGCGCTCGTGAAAGCTCCCCTCATTCCAACCCTGAACGCTATAGTGCAGTATTTGGATCTTACACCAAACCAGGAGTATTTGGTCGAAAGGATCAAAGGTACGTGGTGTCACCATACTGACTTTAAAACCCTTCCGTTACCACAGTCAAGCCTTGGTGGCGTCAGACATTCATTCCTTCAGTGGAGATGTTTGAAGAGCCGCGGCAGGGATGAGAGCTGCTTTTAAGCAGGAGAGATGTTTCTTTGCAACTTTCCCTTTTTAGAGCGATGTAATGATGCAGGACTCGGATGTAACTTTGGGAATGTTTTTAAAAGCCTTATTTCTCATTTTCCTCCTGCATGCTCAGGATGCAAAGTGCTGGATTTAATCCCTTCGTTAACGACAAATAAAAATTACCTGTAAATTTACCTCTCCATATAAATATCTTGACAAGCGTTTCATTAGTTGAATTTTTCCTATTTTGTACACCAGAAATATGTATGAATTCCCTGAAATAGCACAAAACACTGCTTTCATACGCTTTCAGTGCCCAGGAACTGAATAAGTCTTGTTGCTTTCAGAGCTTTCTCAGGGAGGATGCATGAGTTCCTTCCGATGGAACAGAGGAGGGGATTTCAAAGGCCGCAAGTGGGACACCGACTTGCCCACCGACTCCTCTGTAAGTTTTCGAAGACGTCTTGATACAACGGCTTAACTTGGGTTGCCTTTCAGCATAGGCTTTGGAGGGGATGGCCAGTAAGTCTTTTGAGGAACACGGTAAAACCCTGTTCACATCGCTTACACAGATAATCCCGTTCTAGTCGGTGAGATTACGTGGGGAATAATGCAAATGGGATTGGACGTCGCATAGATCACAAAAATGCAATTGCGTGTCTTAGTCTTAGGCTGGGCTCTTACTTAGACTCCTCTGAAGCGTCTGGCAGGTAACCATGGGGAGCAGCCTGACGGGTGGGGATCTTGTTGGTGCAGTTCTCTTGCTGTGTTTTTGAAAAAGCCAAATGTCTGCCTTAACCTAACAACTCCTAATGCAAGGAAAACCTTTCACCTTGTTCTCATTTTCCTTCGCTGTAATGGACAGAGGGGGAAAAATGCAGATTGAGTGGCAGGACTGCTGTTTGATGTGGTAATATTGTGTGAGAAATCTGAAGATGTTGCACATCCTACTTGAGAGAAGCCTTGTAGCCATGCTTAGCCCGCTAATCCGAAAGGTCAGGAGGAACAGCACCTCACTGTAAAATTCAAATTTTGTGAATTTTGAATTTCAAGTGACTTGAAAGTTCAACTGAGGTAGTTAAAATAATTAAAAGAAAGACCACGGAACAATTCAGGGGGTAGAAAACGGGCTTTACAGTGGGAGTCTTCAGTTGAACTCTATCAGAAAGTAGAGTTAGGGTGATTTATTTTTTTTTCCTCACCATAAATAGATTTTCAGTTACTTGGGAGAATAAAAAGCAGGAGATCTGAATGTCAGAGCTTCACAGCTTCGCTGGCAAAGACATAATGAAATTCAGTTGCCGGAACCTGAAGTTGTACAAAATCAGTCTTGAAATAGGATTTGATTTTCTATTTGTGAAGATGATAAAATACTTGGTAGTGACTGGCCACGGGGCAACTCTTAGTGTCTTGAGAGACAGCAGGGTGAGGAGCTCGAAAGCGTTTAAAGCTGATGAGACAGAGTTGCACACCCTGGAATTCAGTCTTTTATCAAAACCAGCTGGGAGAGGTGGTGGTGGGCAGTATATTAAACTATTAAGAATTCTGGGAAAGAAGTTCCGATGTAAGAGGTGAATATAAACACTTGCCGTGAAGTTTTGACATTAATTTACTCAAGACAATTACTGTAAAAACCCCAGAGTTCCACATTTTTGCATGTAATGACTTCTTGAGACTTTTGGCATTTAGCCCAGAGAAACTCTTTTGTTTTGTCTACAAAACAGGTTGTGCTCTATGTAACGAACACAGAAAGTATCAGATTACAGATAATTTGCTGCCATTTTACCCCCGTAAAACGTTGAGAACTCTCCGGGAAGGGTCAAAACACAAACAGCAGGCTGCGGTGTGGTTTTCCGGGTACTTGTTCCAGGACTTCATTTCAAAATTTTGGCCTTCTTAATAAGACTCACGGCCAGCTCAGGTTTTTCCAGGGGTTTTTATTGTGCCTTTTGTGAGGAGAAGGGAGAAATCTGCTCGATAGGTGTCGTGTCGGCAAAGCTGGAATTTGATTTCATCAGCCCTTCTCAGCCAAATCCTCGCAGCTAGTACAGAACCCATCGCTAAAACAGATGGCTCGGAGTTCATGGCCTAAATATGCTAATAAGATCTGTGACTTTGCCAAATTTTGCAGGATGCCAGGATAAAGTTGCCCGTGCGCGAACTGAGCCCCTGCCATAGAGCAGCAGTTTTATCGCGTTGTGACTGACGCTCTTTCACTTGCCGGAAAAAATAAACCTGCCTTCAGCCTCGCAGCGTGCCCGGACCGTTGAAATCTCTGCTTTAAGCGTTAAGCTGCCTTGGGCTCCTAAACACAGAGGGGTTAAGTCGACGTTGCAACCGCAGGCTGTCAAATACTGTAACTAATGCCTGAGACCGGGGCAGGAAAGCTGCTGTATTTTTAAGGACACTAAAGTGAGATTTGTTTTCCTTTGCTCAGATCATTATGCACGTGTTCTGCACCTACCTCGACTCCAGGCTGCCACCTCACCCCAAGTATCCCGACGGCAAGACCTTCACTTCCCAACACTTCGTTCAGACGCCAGATAAACCAGGTACTGGCACTCGCATTTTAGCTCTTTGCCTCTTGGATCGCGTCAGCGCCCTTGAAACCCCGCTTCGTTCGCAGACACTTCAAACGAAAACGTGTTCTGCATCTACCAGAGCAGCATCAATCCGCCCCACTACGAACTGATCTACCAGCGCCACGTCTACAACCTGCCCAAGGTACGATGGCGTTAGTGCTGTTCTCCTGCTGCGCGAAATCGTTGGCAGGTCTGATTTGGGGTTGGGGTTTTTTGGGTGTTTTTTTTTTTTTAGGAACTAGCCACATTTAGCGACTATTTGGCAGCAAACTTTTTAGCAGGGCCTGTTGCGACAGGACAAGGGGGAACGGCTTTAAACTAAAGGGGGGTAGATTCAGACTAGAGATAAGGAAGAAATGTTTTACGCTGAGGGTGGTGAAGCACTGGCCCAGGTTGCCCAGAGAGGTGGTGGATGCCCCATCCCTGGAAACATTCCAGGTCAGGTTGGACGGGGCTCTGAGCAACCTGCTCTAGTTGAAGATGTCCCTGCCCACGGCAGGGGGGTTGGACTAGATGGCCTTTAGAGGTCCCTTCCAACCCAAACCATCCTGTGATTCTATGATTTACACGTAGGCTGGCTCAGTGCAGGAAGGAAACATGAGCCTGGTCTTCGACCACGACGTGGTACTTAGTCTGCTACTAAATAACAGCTTTAGTTATCTATTTAAGATACGTGAGTACCGAGGTCTAGCTTCCTCTTGTTTATTTTCTGACAATTTCTTTTAAAATACCGAGTTGCGTAATCCCGGATGTGTGTTGTCACCCCTTAAGGCCAGCAAGCCCGGGGCTTGTCCGTGGGAGTTCTGGGGGGAAGCTTCCAGTCTCAAAACAGTGAAATTCTCCTGTGAATTTTAATTTTATATTGAGCCCGGGTTGTTGCTGGATCCCTGCTTTCCAAAAAGCTCCGGCATTTAAAGTATTTGGAGACGATAATCCAGCCAAAACCCACGTTTGGTCTTTTTCTGGTATTTACCTAATTGAAAGAAGTAAAGCATTCGGGCAAAAAACCCGACAGCCCTCCCCGTGATGCCGTTTCATGACGTCTTTCTCTGTGGTCGCTTATTCTACCTGAAACATCGCTGTGATTTCTCGGCAGCGGCTTGATTTCTAAGTTCTTCTCTTTTCTTGTGGATTCAGGGCAGAAACAACATGTTCCACACCTTGCTTATGTTTTTGTATATCATAAAGACGAAAGAATCCGGGATGCTCGGGTAAGTACCCGAAGTTACGTGTCATCGCGCCGCGTACGAGATGTGAACGGAGCGCCCCGTTTTGAAACGCCTTGCCTGAAGGCGCTTCAGACCGAAATCGCTACAGCGGGATGATATTAATGCTGTTAAAATCATCTTCGTGTTTGAAACGATGGCAGCTTTTTCGTAAAATTGGGTAAATCTTATGCTTGTGAGCAATAAAAGCGATGTCCGGACTTCCCCTTCGTTCTGAAAGAGCCGCGCTCGATTCACGGCAAAGCACGACACCTGCCCACGTGTGAAAACGCTGACCTGCGGAACTGGTAGTTTTTCGTTTGACGTTTTAAACGGGCGCTTTAATTTACTTGCGATTTATCCCGATACCTTTGTTTTTGCAGGCGTGTGAATCTCGGTTTGTCGGGAGTCAACGTTCTGTGGATTTTTGGAGAATAACACCTCGAGCAGGATGCCGGTTCAGAGGAACGATGCTCCTCTGGTGAGACGAACTGAGCAGCATCGTCACGTTGTTGACTTAAAACACGGACTTACTATGAAACGGGATCGTTTAAGCTCTGCTTTGTGGGCAGAGCGGAAGCGTTTGTAATTCCTCTGCGGGTTTTATGACGATATTATTTAAAATGTTTCACTGTTGAAATGCTACTACATGCGAACGCCAGGCAGGTTTTCTTTTTTCCGGCTCCTCACCCGAACGAATCCTGTTTAAAAAGCCTTTTGCTGTTTCTGTTCCACGTACGTGCCCGCGCCGTCGCCGCTTAACTGAGCTTAACTGATCTCGGGGCTAAACTCCAACCGCGTTTGAGGGCTGGAACAGCCCCCCCCCCGGGTTTGTGCGAGCCGCGAGCGAGTCGTCACATGGAAGGATACAACCATTCGGTCAACTTCAGGATCCACGAAATTCCAGATCGGCACGAGAAAAGCCAAGTCAAAAAGTTTAGGCTCGTTTTGGTTCATTTGATTACGTATGATAAGAAAAACATTATTTTTTTTTTTTTTTTAATCCCTGCTTATTGCTGTAATTGGGTTTTCGGACCCCACGCGATGCGCTGGGCGTCTGCGCTGCGGGTGTGAAGGAAAGAGAGAACCGTGTTTGACGTGCTGGTTTCAGTAAATAAGATTTTTATTTTTATTATTTTTATTTTTTTGACCAAAATAAGCATGCCACCCACCTCCGGCAGCCTTGCGAGCTCCGAAACACCGGGTGCCTTCAGTACAACCGCAGCGTTACCCTGCCTTTGCTTTTTACTTGACTTTTTCTTGTCTTTTTTTTTTTTTTTTTCTCCTCCCATCAGCTTTTTTTGCTAGTAAGCTCTTAGTTTGGGAGCCCGACGGCCTGGCACGTGGCTTCAGCACCTCGGCGGGAGACCCGGCTGTATAAACGCACGGACTTCTTGAGTCCCCGCTCTCGGGGATGTACCTTTTGGGGAAAAACCACTTGGATTTGTTTCAAAGAAGAGGTCGTTCAATATTTGCCAAAAACCTTTTTATATAAGGGGCGTTGTTGTAAATCCTGACAAATGTGGGGTTTAGAAGTATATATATATAGTTGCTGTACTTCGTTATTTTTGTAAAGGGGGGTAAAAATCCGTAAGCCCCGAGGTGCTGAAGGTCCGTGTGAGCTGAAGGCGAGGGCGTCGGCTCCTTTCCCCTCGCTTTCCCCGGAAACCGCCGAAAACCCCCACTCAGGGGTGACACACAGGACGTGAGAATTACACCGCCTTGTTACCGGGGGCGAGAACGCCACGTGTTTTCCTACGAGAATATATTTTTGTACTGTCATTTTTTTACTGCCGGCCTCGGGCGCGCACTGAACGGGAGGGAAGAGGAGATTTACTGCGCTCGGGACAGGGGCGCTCCCTTCTCTCTGCGAGGGCTGAGGGGGGGAAAGCTGCTATTTTTTTGGTGCCAACCCACTGTTACCGCCGACTCTCTCTCCCCCAGGGAGGCGCGGGGTTTTTCCGAGGGACCGGTAACAAACCGGCTCGTTTGGTTCCCGTATTAAAGGAGTTCGTTCTATCAGACGCTTGTTTGGGTTTTTCCCGTGGTTCAGCATCGCTGAATCCATCCACGTGCCGAGGAGGGACGTTCAAGAAACGGGATTAGCTTCATCTGAGCTTGTCATTTTTTACGCCGCCTGGGCTTTACCCCGAGGCTCGCGCCCTGGGGGCGGAGCGGGGCCATCCCGGTTGCCTTCCGTCCCGCTAAAGGCTCTTCAGGTGCGGAAATTTTCTCCGTTGACTAAAAACGGGTGTTTCTCGAGAAGAGCCCGTCCCGCAGGGCACCCTCGGGGGGCGCCCGGGACCCTGCACGCTCTGGGGATCCCCTGCAGCCGTGGGATCCCCGTGCACCCCCAGGATCCTGCACAGCCTCTTCCCCACGCGGCCCAGATCCCTGTGTGCCCCGATAAACTGCACCCCGATAATACCGTGCACCCTGGTCCCCATCCGTCCCAGTCCCGGTGTACCCCAATACACCACCCCAGATTCTTCTGCACCCCGCTTGGCGCACCCCCTGGTCCCTGTGCACCCCACTCCCAGCGCAGAGCCCCGCGTGCCCTGGTACACCATGAACCCTGTGCACCCCAGTCCTCGTGCACCCTGACACACCGTGCACCCCGGTTCCTGCGCACTGCAGCCCCTACGCACCCCGATCCCTGTTCACACTGATGCACCGTGCCCCCCAACGCACCACGCACCCCAGCCCCGTGCACCCCGATACACCACGCACCCTGGTTCCTGTGCATCCCCGTCCCTGTGCACCCTGATACACCGCGCACCCTGGACGCACCACGCACCCCAGCCCCGTGCACCCCGATACACCACGCACCCTGGTTCCTGTGCATCCCCGTCCCTGTGCACCCTGATACACCGCGCACCCTGGTCCCCGTGCACCCTGATATACCGTGCCCCACCATTCCCGCGCACCCCACATCCCCGTGCACCCCGAT